TACCATATTGAAAAATATACTATTTTTGTATGATAATTATGGGTTTTGTATTTTATTTTAATAGAAGTTGATGTTGCTTTTGCAATTATCCATCAATTTTTTAAAATTAAACACTATCTACAGATTTGCATCGAAGCGTTTCTTATGATAGTGATTTTAATCACTGTCAGATTAAATCTATACTGGACCCTACTATGCAATGTCTCCACTATGCCGCGACCCCACTGTGCTACCGTTATTTTGTTATTTGTTTTTAGTAATAAAAAATAAAAATTTGTTTTTTTAATTTAAAATTTTACCAAAATTTTAAAGTAGCTAGTTTTTAGCAATTTTCATACAAAAATAATAAAAGGTTAGATAACAATTTTAGAACTAGTAAATATTTAACAAAGTGATTTTATAAATGGAGTGGGTATGTAACTCTAGTGGAGTATGAATTATAAATATATATCAGTACAAGCTAGTTTTTTAATATTTAACAACAACTATAATATACATAACAATTATATTATTTTGTAGATAGAGAGTATAACTATTTTCGTCAAAGAATATATGTATATTCAAGTAAATATATTTAAGTCGAAAATATTTTTTTTTTTTAATGTATATACTAATAAAGAAATCATTATTTTATGTAAACGAGTATAATTATTTAAAAGTCATGTTTACCATGCTATTTAAACAAGGAGAAATAAATTTAAAATTTGGATAGCAAATCTTTTTTCAATGTATACTATTGTTTATGGGGAAAAATTAGTCAATTAAAATATATAAATACATACAGAGTGATTCCTTAACTACATAATCTCGCGAAATGTCTTCAAAAATATTAAAGTAAATTATTTTATTTTAAATTATAGTTTTTTTTTATGAACTGCATTACACAAAAAATTTATTTTTTTCTACTATTCCTTATATTTTTAATTCGTATTAACTTTAAATTAATGGCAAAGCATTAATTCAAATGGCAACCATAATTAATTTTAATACCATCAAATTTATTTGATTGAAAAAATCTTTTGTATAATACGGGTTTTAACGAATTACAGTTATTTGAAGTTTAAGGGCGATCAGGAAAGAGCGTATCTATTTTTAAAAGACAATAACATTATCAAATCAAGTATCGATATTATCAATTCGATAACCAATATTAGTGAATAGACAAACCAATTGTACACCCTAACTTGATGATATGAATCGGATGGACTCATCAGTTTACAACCTATTAAAGATGCTACCTTTAATTTGTAAAATTTTATATATTTAATAAATAACTAAATAAAAATTTAATTTTAATTTAAATCTTTAATTTTTAAATTAAATCAAATAAAAAAAAATGCTTTAAACGTAGTCCAAAACTATAGAAATTATATAAAAAAAGTAACACAAAATATATGCTGGATGAAAAGTTATCAAAGATTTTAAAACCTACTGGAACACTAGATATATTCAGTATGATTTATTAAGAATACTACTCCCAAATGGTTCGTTAAATAATAATTTTTTTTTTTATAAAAATTTACAAATTATAATCTTATTTATTCTTATGAACCATAATAAATATCAAGTTTATTATAAAAAAATCCATATTTTTAAAAATCGAAAAAATCTTTTGAAGTTGATTAATAAATCTCAAATTTGGATGTTTATCTTTTTGAATGTATACTATTGATTTATGATAAACCTTAAATTTTCTTTATCAGTCTAATATTATATATTTTCCCTGTGGATAGGGACTAAGAATACTTCCACGGCCCCTCTGCCAGTCGTAAGAAACGACTAATGAGGTTGCGTCAGGTCGACAGCCGGCGTAAAAATTATTGTCAAAAAAGTATGAGGAATCTTAAACAAAACTTAGGCAGATTGTCCCATCTCGGTTGTTCACGGGGACAACAGAAAGTAGTTATAAACGGAGAAGGTCTTAGGAATAAAGTGTTTGATACCAGCCGGACAACTTGTGTGGTAGCTGTTTCACCAGTCATGTGTACAGGTCTCCCAACGCTTGTAGTGTCAACGGTGTAGAGACATCACTAATAACTCTAGGATGGGCTCGTGTAATGGAAGAAAAAAAATATAGATACAAAGTAAGAATAGGTATTTGAAATGTTGGAACATTAACTAGTAGAAGTAGAGAATTAGTAGAAGTATTGAAGAGGAGGAAAAGTTAACATTTGTTGTGTGCAGGAAACTAAGTGGAAAGGAGAGGAATCAAAGGAAATAGGTGAGGGTTATAAAGTAATTTACTCAGGGAAGTATAGTACAAAGAATGGTGTAGGGATAATAATGGATGAGGAAATGAAAAATAAAGTAGTAGAAGTAGCTAAGAAAAGTGACAGGATTATAGTCATGAAATTGATATTCGAGGAAAAAGTGCTGAATGTAATAAGTGCCTATACACCACAAGTAGGATGTGATGAAATAGACAAGGAAGTTTTTTGGAGAGAGATGGATGAGGTGATGCAAGGGGTACCTGGCAATGAGAATGCGGTAATAGGAGGAGATATGAATGGACATGTAGGTAATGAGAGGAGAGGATATGAAAGAGTACATGGAGGGTATAGTTTTAGTGGGAAGATTAAAGCTCGAAAAAGAATCCTGTAATTTGCAGTATCGTATGATCTTGCTGTGGTTAATACTTATTGTAGAAAGAGGTATATAACTTATAAGAGTGGGAGTAATAGATCACAGATTGATTATTTTATGTGGAAGAAAGAGAACGCAAAGTGAATAAAGGATTGTAAAGTTATACCAGGCGAGAGTGTAACTACACAGCATAGACTGATGGTAATGGATTTTTGGTGTACCGGGAAAAGAATATACAAAAACTGAAGGAATACGGGAGAAAAATCGAAAATCTGTTTGTGAAAATTGAAAGGGAAAAATGAAAAAGAGTTTGTCAAGACGGTAAAAAAAGGACAGTATGGAATATCGAAGAAGACATAAATGAGTTGTGGAATATATTTTTTAGTTGTGTTAAGAATATTGCAAAGGAAGAAAATAAGAAAAAGCAATTCAAAATATGGCAGAAGAGCAAAAGGAGAGAATATTGGATGCAGTATAAACGCTTGTGCAAAGAAGCCAAGTGTACAGTAAGTCAGGCGAAGTTAAAGAGATATGATGAGTTGTATGATAGGCTAGGAACAAGGAAGGCAAGAAAGAAATCTATTGACTTGCAAAAGTAAGGGAGAAAAGGTCTAAACAAAAATTTTGTATATTTTTTTTATAAATTTAACCCTTTACCAGCCCACAGGGGGGGATTCAAAATGATAACTTTTTCAACTTAATTTTTGAAAGTGTTCCGGAAAGTCTGACGCTTTTATATCTTAAAGTAAAGTAAATGTAATGTACTTTATTATGGAAAAAAAATTTCGGACTTTATTTTGTCTTCACGGGAAAAATAGCTACCAAATGATATTTTTGTGTGAAAATTTTCGATTTTATTTTTTACATTTTTAACTTAATGTATTTTAACTTTATAATGCTATAACTTATTGACAAGTGTATGAATCAACACAATTTTTTTATAAGAAATAATATTTATATCCCTTTTTCATTCGACCTACTTTATCTTAATCAGGATATAAATAAAGAAATAGCAAATCATGTAGCTTTTGTACTAATCCACCAATTTTTTAAAATTAACACTATCTAAAGATTTGCATCGAAGCGTTTTTTATGATATTGATTTTAATCACTGTCAGATTAAATCTATAATGGACCCAACTATGCCACGTTCCCACTGTGCCGCGACCCCCCTGTGCTGGGTTTATTTAATTTGTTTTTTAGATAACTTTAGTTACATTTTATTCTTGGATTATTAGTTATGTAATACTTTTTATGTTTATCCCTCGTGACTTGTAATTATATTAAATTTGATTTTTTAAAGGGACACACATTTTGAATTTAAAAAAATTTTTGAGATTTTATTTTAATAGTAAATCGCATTTGAATTTTTAACATAACTATTTTTATTAGATATAAAACTTTAAAGTTTCAAAACTTTGAGTTGATATACATGTATAATATATAAAGGCTTACAAATATATGTAGATTATTACGGTGTTATCGCAAATACGGAGCGTTTATTGTCAATTATGATTATCGACAGTTTAGCATATTTGTTGATTAAGTCATAATTGACAGTAAATTTATTTCATATATAATAATATGTATATGTATTTATGTATTTTAACACTGTGTTGATATGACCACTTTTATACTAGAGTATAAAACATAATATAATTTTATCTTTTCAGAAGTTAATAGTATACTACGTATAAACGTTTGTCAAGAGAATACAGTATTTATTTTTATTATTAAAAAAAAGTTTTATATTAACTTTTATAAATCGCATAATAAATGATGTTAAGTACGTAATAAAGTATAGATTTACCATGCTCAATTTTATAATCAGATTTTAATTCAAATGTCATTGGAGCACAATCATCACTTCCCTAAACATACAAATAACAATATTTTATAAAATTACATCATCATCATTACCTTAATTATTTTTTGATGTTTTATGAATTTGGTAACACCATTGGTCACTAGAAAATGAGAGTCGAGCACCTTACTTGTCTCTTTATTACTAAATATAAAATATTTACTACTCTGTTACGCGACCTATTTACGATATTGACATATAGATCTCTTCAGTTACAATGTATACATTGTTTCCATCATTTTGGCCTTTGCCAAAGTGTTTTTTGTTGCCTTTTAAAGCATAGTAATTTTTATATAGTAAATTGCCTTAGCGATTTGTGCGTACCTTTGTATGCAAATATAATAAAATTGCCATACGATTCACCTTCATACCTGTGCATCGTGATAGCATAGCTCTTTCGATTACGTGCACCCTTGTGCATCGTGTTATTATCACCACTTGTGATTCCCCACCCCCACTGGAATTGATTACTGTCCTCGTCATTTGAAAACAAGGTAATCTAGTCATGGTCCATTCGTCTATGCAATCGCTGAAGGCTACAAAAACTAATAATTACTTAATTATTTGTCAGTATTTAGTTGCTTGTATAAATATAATATTATTTATTTATTTTTGCGTCATTGTCGTTATAAGTGTCTTCCCTCGTTCACCATTTGATACGTTAGTTTTAAGTTTATCGTTTCAATATATTAGCTTTTTTTATATGTTTGAATTCATTCTGCATATTTTAGTTTATAGTAATTTGTAAGTAAAATATCACTTTTCCTCCCCTAGTATTCTCATAAATTATTCTTTAGTAATTAATTGAACCATATACAAAATTGTACCCAAACCAGAATGTAGAAATCCGGACCTTCCATTATACACTATCCCAATTAGTTAGGGTCGTCTGTTAATGATTTGACAAGATTTTTACATCGTCAGTTTTCTGATGCACCTCATAATTAAGAGAATCAATAAGGAAGTAAGGTATGTGTCACAGTTAGAATTAAAGTCAACCCAACCTATCAGAGAATTAACAGCAAACAGCGTAGCTGAACATCAGCTCTAAAGCGGCAACTATATGCACTAAACCGCGCCCCCCCCCATTTAATAAAACTACATAAATATTATTATATTTTACATTTATGTATCATTTTGGCTTTTATTTCTATAGCTACCTGTATATTACAAACCTTTTGAGTAATAATTGGTGATTTTGTTTTTTCAGAAACTTTCACTGACATACTCAATGTTGTGCTTTCTTCTATTATCTGTGGTGATGTCATCATAGAGTTGCTTATTTTAGGTTTTGTTATCTAAATATACATTTCTTCCATATAGTTTAATACAAAAGCAATATATTAAAAAAACCATTGAACAATTATCATTTTTAACATCATAATAATTATGAAAATATATATAATAAAATTATATATATATATAATGCATATAACTTCTATTCATACATTTTTAAAAACATAATGTATAATTAAGAATATTTCCAGATATATCCACGTCTTCAATTTTATACTGACGTTTTGAACTGATTGCAAAGTTAATCTTCGATGTGATAGATTCGAGTTTGCAGCTATACTATCACTAGCTTGTTTGCTGTTTGTTTTTATAAGGGTAATAGGTTGATAACCAATAACGTCAATATGATTATTTTTTGTTAATGTAGGTATTATTGTTAAATTGTTATTAACGACTGTCTATATATTATTGAAGTTGTTTTTATTGTTGTTTTTCGACGTCATTGACATTTTAATCTTCCTTTTCTGCACCGTCAATTTTCAGATAATATCTGAAAATTCAATATATTATGTTGTTTTTCATATTGTGATTTTTTTTTCATATTCTATTATTCTTGTTGAAATCTTGCTTCCTGTATGTCAAATGAATGACTTATCACATGAACACGGTATCTAATAGATACCTGCAGTTTGCATTTCCGTTAATTGGTACCTCAGACTTCGTAGTAGTATTCCTGTAACAATGTTCGGTTAGAAGACGGCTATTATTTTGAATTTATTAATAACTATTTAGATACTATTAGTAATTTCTTGTAAGTACGGCAATAATAGTATTTCTTTCTTGTTGTCTTCCATATTTTTATTTTTGATATTGCTTACTATATATTTTTTTCTTTCGGCTTTTTTTGATACCTTTTGATTTTTTTAACTGAGTATCTATTACTTTGAAATTATTATTGCACATATTTAAATATGTTATTTCTTCTTTTACGTTGTCTTAATCAATTATTCTTGTAGGTTATGTTTTTCTTGTATCTATTAATTCATTTTCCTGTGTAGAATGGTGTGAATCGGCATGTAAATGTCTGTTAGCATGTATGCTTTTTTTGTACATTCCTATGACGTATTTTCGTTTTACTGAATTTTTATTGTGAACTGTATGTTGGCGTCTATACTATTTAGGTAATTCGAGGATCTTTTTAATAGATTATCGCCATATTGCCACAGAACAAAAATACTGTCTATATAAGACCTGAAGTAAATAGAGAGCTAAGTGCCATTTATAAATTCTTCATAAATTGCGTTTTTTATTTAATTTACACTTACTTTTATTTTATAAATATACAATAGGTTTATATATTTAGTTGAAGAAAATACTAGAGTATGCTCAAAAATTAAAAATATATACAAATTGTAAAAATAATTTAAAAATAAATTTAATTTAGAAAATGCAGTCAGTCCGATATCTACAGTAATTGTCCTAAAAATAGGTTTTAAGTTCCTCGGGCACTTACATCCCTTTTTACAAATGTTTGATTATATTTTTTTATGATAATAATAGTTTCACTAAAGAATTTGGCGTCAAACAGAGAGGAGTGACTTCAACGGCAAGGCATTGTCTTTAATAGATGATGATGATAATAAAAATTAAATCATTTTCAAAAAATTAAATCTTTTAGGCAAAATCCAAGTTGAATTTTTACACCGGCTGTCAATCTAACGCAACCACATTAGTTGCTTCTTACGGCTGACAGAGAGGTCAAAAAAGTAATCTTATCCTCTTCAGACTTGTAAAGGGAAACAAAGAAAAAATATTGTATGATATTTATAGATTTGAAGAAAGTGTATTGTAGAGGACCGAGAGAGGTGTTAAAGTGGGTATTAATAAAAAAAGCACACCTAAATGGACACATCGATAGAGGATATGTATAATGGCACTTGTACCAGGGTATAGTGTGGGTGGAGTAATAGTAAATTTTAGGGTAAGAGTAAGAGTGCATCTGAGTTCTGCTTTAAGCCTTTACTTATTTTCAATAGTGATGGATGAAATTACTAGAGAAATACAACGAGAGGTGCCGTTGTATATATGGTTTGCTGACGATATAGTGTTAATAGGAGTAAGTAGGGAGGACATTAATCTAAGGCTAGATCAGCTCTTGAAGAAAATGGTTTAAGAATAAGTAGGAGTAAGGCAGAGTATATAGAGTACGAGTTTGATAAAGGAGAACACGAAGTAGGTGAAATAAAGAGATCAATAGGCGAGGACGTGATTGGAGAGATGGAAAGTTTTAAGTATTTAAGATCAGTTGTGTAAAAAAGCGGTGGTATTGACGAAGATGTAAGACACAGGATTAAGTGCGGGTGGTTGAAGTGGAAAGAAGTGTCTGGTGTCTTATGCGATAAAAGAATAATTAGAGGAATTATAGGTATAGCGTCAATCGTGGATAAACTGAGAGAAAATAGACTTAGATAATAGACTATCAACACCCTGATACTCCCTTATGCATGCATCTGCTACTGGTTCCAGGCGTCTTAACTAGATTTTTGAAAGTACTTTATATGCAGTATTTAGTAAAGTTATTACTCGGTAATTATTGAAATTGAGCTTATCACCTTTCTTATAAAAAGGTATCAATATGTTTGTATTCAAACTCGTAGCAATTTTTCTATTTCCCATATGCTGTTAAATATTTCATTGATTATTTTCTCTTTAGTATACTCACGTCATCTGGTAATCTTCACAAGGGTCTATCAAGATTGTTTTATCTTCTTTGTCTCTTATGGTTTTCAAATATGTCTTATCTTTCCTAGTGAGTGATCTTGGTCAGTGCTACGTAGCAGATCGTTTATATAAGATCTTTTTTCTCTTTGTATGCTGTTGTACTTCTTTCGTTCACGTTTGAAGGCTTCTTTTGTTCCTTGTGCTTATGCTTTAATATATTTTAGTCGTGCTTCATTTCTATAGAAAACTGCGTTCTTGCACACAGTGTTTTACCATGGTTTCATTTGGTTTCTTACCTTTTCGAAAGTATTTTTTGCGGCTATTAGGAGAGCGACAGTGACTATATTCCAATTTGTCACGACTTACTTGTCTTTTCGATCAATTTTTTACTTCCTGCACGTATTTTTCTTGTCTTCTTTGACTTCTTTGCTTTTGATACTTTCTAAATTGAATTTTGGTGTTCTCATATCCGTACCCACCTTTTTTAGTTTAAGTCTGATCCTTGTTTTGAAAATAGTCCGTGTCGCAGTCTGTCCCTCAGTAATTTCTCATATCTACTATGCTAAACTTATAAGTTTGTGTCCATTGTTATTGCTTATCTCGTGTACACTCTATGTTCCAATTGTTGGTATGAAGGAAGGTCTCTCTTCCTATTTTGGCATTCCACCTCAAATTTTACCATGTTTTCAGGTGCATCATTATAGATTCTTGATAGCTCGTAGTAAAAGTCATCCTTATCTGTTTCATCCGTATTTTCAGTGGGTGTGTAAACGTTAATAATGTATATATTCATTGGCTTTGTATTTAGCCTTATAGTACATAAACGTTCAGATAATAGATTAAATTCTTTAATACAGAACGAGAACTCCTTGTGTATCATCTATACCTTTTTAGTATACGACATAGCTATCAAATTTAATTAATTCCAGTTCTAGTCCACCGTATCTCTCATAGTGCCGCTATACCTACATTGTATTTGTTTAGAGAATCTGCTAAGTTATGACACGCTCTCGTTCTATACAAGCTTAAATTATTCTAAGTCGCAATTTTATCTCATTGTATTACCATTTCCGCTATGGTTCGATATTCTAGATAATCCAGTATTTATCCTAGACAATTTTAGTGGTTTCTTAGCAGGTGTTTTTTTACGATGCAGGGTTTTTACCCCTGCTATCAACCCTCCATATCATGTAGGGAGAAGAGCTCAGGACCCTGGGTTTGCAAAGCCCGTAAGCACTAGGTTTCCCCTCCGGGGAACAACTATATAGTGAATTACTTAATTAATCTAAAATAAAAGCCACTATATGAATTATTTTTTCTCTTATTTAAATGTTTTTCTTGTTTATCTACTATGAAGATTTTATTATATTCGTTCCTTATGCCTAATAAGAATAAAAAAATCAATTTTTTTTTAATGGAAACATAATTAATTAATCAGTTTATTTATTAGATGATAATCTAATTAAAATATTGACTAGTAGATATCAACTTTTGGAACAAAATTTCAGAANAAAAAAAAAAAAAAAAAAAAAAAAAAAAAAAAAAAAAAACACATCATAGTAAAACCAATACCTTCTCAGCTTCGCATCGAAGCTAAAAATCAATTTTTTTTTAATGGAAACATAATTAATTAATCAGTTTATTTATTAGATGATAATCTAATTAAAATATTGACTAGTAGATATCAACTTTTGGAACAAAATTTCAGAAGTTATTAACATCTTTATATATTGAAAATAGGAGAATTGCAACATCTAGTGATAAAAATAATAGCACCTACGCTCCATTCCTAACCACTACTTTAAAATATAAAAAACATAAGAGATGAATATAAATCAATTTTTTTGATAAATAAATCAAGAAAAACATATAAATAATACAAAATAAGAATTCCATACTATTTTTATTTTTCAATTAATTAAATTTTAACATTGTATAACATGCTATCAATTTTCTAAAATTAATAAAAAAAAATTTTAATTTTTACCTCTTAATTATAGTACAAATTAAATTTATTACATTAAAATTATTTAAATAAAACTTTTATTGTAATTTTAAAAAATAATCTTATTATAAATATAATATAATTGAGTTAAATATTTTTAATATTTTTTTATTTTAAATGAATAATATTTTTATTATAGTTTTAATTTTAATTGCAGATATACATACATTAAATTATATTTATAATAATATGAAATATTATGTCATATTTTACGATTTAAATGCAATTTGATAAACCTCATATAAAAAATTATACATTTACCAAAGTTTTAGTTTCCTGTGTAGATTTAGATGCTACTTCAATGTTTTTGGCAGTATTTGATTTTTTCTAAAAATTTAAATTAAGCTTTTATTAAATTTAAATAAAAACAACCTAATCAAATTGGTTCAGTATGTTTTGATATGGTTTATGATTTTTGATCTATTTAATAATTTGCAGTACTTATAATTTTATATAATTTGTTTATTTTTTACTTTTTAATAATTATTATATATTGAACTATAATCAAATTATAAGTTTAATTTTTTGTTTATATAAAAAATAATTATACATTTTTAAATTTAAGAAAAATTTTATTCAAAATAGCCATTTTACAGACCAGATTTAAAAATAAATTTAATAATACATATTTAATTAATGTACAGTAGTTAAATTTCTACAGCGTTTAAAAAAATGTAAAAATTTGGAAATTTACGCGTTGATATCAAGCGTTTGTCTATGTTGTAAGGAAAAGGACTGAAGAGATGGATATTCTATTTATTTATTTGGAATATTGATCTAAATATTGCATATTATTGAAATGAAAATAACTCTCTTCATATTGTGTTTTCTTCAAACATAAACCAACTTTGAAGAAACAAACTGAACCACCATTTATATAAGCACTACAATTTTCTTCAAATACATTTTTTAAATTGATTGATTTAAGACTTCAATACTACTTACATTTTCATTTCTACAACTCAACTTTTTAGCCTGTTAAACACATTGTAGTACAAACTAAACAATAATGAAACTATATTAACGTAGAAGTTTTTTAAAAAGTAACTTTATTGTAAAATAATGTTCAGAAAAACTTCTAGTATCTACTACATACCGCATTCCTGGCAGATTCTTCAGCTATTTTTCTTGTTGTTTTTCTCAGTTGATCCAATTTTTGTTTTCGTTCTTCAATCATTTTATTTTTTTCAGATTGTTCTTTGTTACTATTCACTCTTCCATGGTTTTTCTTTTTAATTTCTTCATTCTTGCTGTTCATTTTTATTTTGTTAGATAAGGATTTTTACCTAAAATTCGCATAAGATAAATATTAAATGTCAGGACAAATTTTTTTTTTTAATTTTATAATACATGACATAAGTTTTAATTTTATAAATGTTGAAAGGGCGCAATATTTCTGGAATATTTTCAAAAGTTAAGTTGATNATTTTATATATGTTGAAAGGACGCAGTATTTCCGGAACATTTTTAAAAGTTAAGTTGAAAAAGTTAGTTTTTGTAATAAAGTTGCTATTTTAAATCCCACTCTGTGAGTAGAATAAGTGTTAGATTTTCAAAAAAAATGATATCAAATGAAAAGTAAATGTCTAAGAATTTAATTTAAGATATATATAAAAGTGTCAGTATTTCCGGAACATTTTCAAAAAGTAAGTTGAAAAATTTCTACTTTCTATATGCATTTTTAAGTTTTGAACCCCCCTATATTAAGGAAAATGGTCTGATTTTAAAAAAAGTATATAAATATTATTTCTCATAAAAAAATTGTATTTATCCATGCATTTTTCAAAAATTTATAGCATTATAAAGTTAAAAATTTAAATTATAAAATCGAAAATTTTAACACAAAAATAGCGTACGGAAACCATTTTCACCGCAAAGAAAAAATAAAGTCCAACATTTTGTTTTCCATGATTAAGTATATTGCATAAGCTTTAACTTAAGGTATATATAAAAGTGCCAATATACTCGGAACACTTTCAAAAGTTAAATTGAAAAAGTTAATTTTTTATGAAAAAGTTGTCATTTTCAATCTCCTCCTGTAGACAAGTAAAAGGTCAGATTAAAAAATTATATATCAAATGATAGGTAAGGACATCTTATATCTATAAAAATAAATGATGTTAATTTGTTGATTTTTGAAAAAGTTATGGAAGTTTTAAGAAAAAAAAGTGTAAAAAATGACAAAATTTACCGATTTTAAAAATTATAATTTTTTTGGAGATTTCCCCCATTTACGGGGAACGAAAGAAAATTTTTCTATTTTACAGGATAATGTCTTCAACTAGATACGATTTGTGATCTTTTGACGTATTGTTGAAAGAAATCGGTCCATTGAGAGCTGAGAAAAAGTAGTGACAGACAACACATCATAAATCACATCAATAAACACATCATACCTTCTCAGATTCGCATCGAAGCTACAATTCGTCGCGACATCATATCTTTTATGTGCAAATGGCTGCCGAAATTCAACAAAAAATATAATGTTTGCGATAAAAATCACCTTCTATCGGGTTGTGTTTTGTACTTAAAACAGCCATAACTTTTTCGAATATTAACAAATCAAAATAACATTTTTTTATATTAAAACCTTAGGTAATTTTCTTTCATTTGATATCATTTTTTTTGAAAATCTAACACTTATTCTACTCACAGAGTGGGATTTAAAATAGCAACTTTATTACAAAAACTAACTTTTTCAACTTAACTTTTAAAAATGTTCCGGAAATACTGCGTCCTTTCAACATATATAAAATTAAAGCTTATGTCATGTACTATAAAATTAAAAAAAAAATTTGTCCTGACGACCTATCTTCTATGCGCAAATGGCTACCGTATTCAGAAGTATGCTATTTTTGTGTTAAAATTCTGGGTTTTGTATTTTATTTTATTTTAAAATATCTTATAAGGGCAATACACTAACTTTCATGAATATTATATAATTTAAATGATATAGAATAAAGTTCATAAGACATATTAAATTAAACTTATTAACATTTTTTTACTTTTTTAAAGTCGAAAAAGTAATTTTTAAATTTGAGTTAGCTTAAATTGCCAATTGTATCGTGCAACGAAAGCAACGAACAGTTGCCGATTCGGTAACACTTGTGTCTTTCACGCTTAGGGTAAGAGATTCGAATCCGGCTGTGGCGATTAATATTTTATATTTCTTTTTGAGTTAGAAAAAAATTTTCAAATTATTTGATTTTTATCTCATTTAAATTCAGTTACTTCAATAAATATCCAGGATCCCATCACTATAGTCTCCCCTCGTGAGAAGAAATTTCTTATACATGTCAATATTATTTTACTATGTGGTTTTTTTTGTGGCTACGATTTATTTTGCCAACCCTCACTTGACCTACTTTTATCAACGATACGTCAAATGATTACAATTCGTATTTGATTGAAGATATTATCCTTAAAAATTGAAAAAAATACCTTATTCAAATAAAAAGTAGCTTAACCAGCTTTATCCATACAAACAATTAAAATCATTCATTTTTAATATTTTTAAAGTATATTGTTGAATTAGATTTGATATCATATAATTTTACTTTGAAATTTATATAATTTTTTAGCTTCGATGCGAAGCTGAGAAGGTATTGGTTTTACTATGTGTTTTTTTTTTTTTTTTTTTGTGTCTGTTACCACTTTTTCTCAGCTCTCACCGAACGGATTTCTTTCAACGATACGTCAAAAGATCACAAATTGTATCTAGTCGAAGACATTACCCTTCAAAATTGAAAAAATTTCCCTCGTTCCCCGTAAATGGGGGAAACCTCCAAAAAAATTACAAATTTAAAAATCGCTAATTTTCGAAATTTTTTCAATTTTTTTTACAAAAATGAACATATCAATATAATTTTTTTTTTTATAGATGCTTGATGACTTCACCTATTATTTGGTATATTTTTTTTGTAAATTTGACATTTTTTCTGCCCACAGGGGGGGATTTAAAATGACAACTTTTTCACAAAAAATTAACTTTTTCAACTTAACTTTTGAAAATGTTCCGGAAGGTCTGACACTTTTATATATATCTTAAATTAAAGCTTATGTAATATCCTTTAATTTGAAAAAAAAAAATTTGACCTCTGGACTTGTCTTCGTGGTGAAAGTTGACATCAAAGTTAATAAAAAATTACGATTTTTGTAAAATAATTTTTTTTTATATTTTTAACTTAATAATGCTCTAACTTTTTCAAAAATGAACATATCAATATAAATTTTTTTTTATATAGTTGCTTGATGTCTTTACTTAACATTTGGTATATTTTTTTTGTAAATCTGACACTTAACCTGCCCACAGGGGGGGATTTAAAATGACAACTTTTTCACAAAAAATTTACTTTTGCAACATAACTTTTGAAAATATTCCGGAAGGTCTGACACTTTTATATATATCTTAAATTAAAGCTAATGTAATATACTTTAATTTGAAAAAAAAAAATTTGACCTCTGGACTTTTCTTCACGGCGAAAATGGCTACCGAATGCTATTTTCGTGTGAAAATTCTCGATTTTATTATTCATATTATATTATATTTTATAATGCTATAACTTATTGAAAAGTTTATGGATCCACACAATTTTTTTATGAGAAATAATATTTTTTAATAATCCCTTTTTCATTCGACATACTTTATCTTAATTGAGATATTAAGGAACCAGCAGATCAAGTAGCTTTTGGAATAAAACACCAATTTTTTTAAAATTAAACACTATCTAAAGATTTGCATCGAAGCGTTTATTTTTGATAGTGATTTTAATCACTGTCAGATATCATTATACTAGATCCAACTATACCACGTCACAACTGTGCCGCGACCCCCCCTGCGCTGGGTTTTTTTACTCTATTTGTGTGTGCTACTACCAGTCTATAACATTCCAAATTTTTTCGTAACATGTTGCTATATAAATCATAAATTTAAAAAAAAATGATTTTTAGTTTCACCTGAATTTAACAATGGATGAAATAAAAAATTTACTGTAAATAGTAATTATAAAATTTCCTGATTGCATATTAATCTTAATAATACCATTTTTTCTATTTAATGAGTTCAAACTTACAAATTGAGCTTAAAAAGTTATGGTAATAAATTCATTTTTTTTTTTTATTATAAACTTTCACTTTAAAGGACAAAAAAAAGTAGGTTAAAAATTAATACTTTTAACATATTAAAAATCAATAATAATTTGAAAACAATTAATTATAAAAATTATATAATATACAAGTAAAAGAATTACTAATCTGGATATAATTAAGTAAATAGAAGTTGATATTGCTTTTGTAATTATCCATCAATTTCTTAGAATTAAACACTATCTACAGATTTGCATCGAAGTGTTTCTTATGATAGTGATTTTAATCACTGTCAGATTAAATCTATATTGTACCTAACTATGCCACGTCCCCACTGTGCTGGGTTTTTTTTAAATTATCATAAAACATTCTAATTAAAGATGACAATTTCAAACTTGAAAGTTGATCTAAAAATAAATTCAACCATATTTTATTATAAACTTTCATAAAAATTATCTTTATATACCCAAAAAATAGCTTAAAAATGATATTTTGCACGGATTATTTTTAACATATTAATTATCAAAATCAATAATAATTTAAAAACAAATTTTTATTTTTTATGTAAATATTTGTTTTTACTTCTAACTAATAATCTTACAAAGAAGGGACACAATGAAAATATTTTAAAAAAGCTATCAATAAGTTTGTTTTTTTTAATAATTTCGTATTTGTGTGTAGCACCACTTTTGCATTTTGATTCGTTTTAATTTATTTAATAAATCAAATGAACTTAATTCAGAAATCAAACTAACGCCTCAATATTAATAACATAACGTGTTCTTTTAATTTTATCGTATATTCTAGACTTTAAATCGCTTGATAATCATGCAAAATATATACTTGTCATACTCTAGGATTCTTTTCGGTATTTAAATAAACTTCACCTATTGTTTTGAGTTGTTTTATAAATTACGTGAATCGTATTTTAATGCTAATATTATATTGTTATTAGTTGTTTTATCATTGTATTATAATTATCTAAAATTGACTACGCCTCATTAAATATGACGTAGGGTCAAATATTTAAGAATAGCTCCAAATGAAGGAGTATTAACGAGATATTCTCGCCTAGCCTATTCGGTCTGGAAGTTATTGCTTGCTGAATAACATTTCTGTAAAATGGCTGTCATGTTTTAAAGTGGTAAGATAGGTCAAACAAAACGTTTCGCATCCTCCAAGCCATTACGGTTAATTAAACAGCTTCCCTTTCTTTACTTTACCAACATTGACTCAAACACCTACTAACGTTTATTTCGTTTATACTCAATTTCAGCATAATGTAACATACTGATGGTGGCGATGACCCTTAACGAGTGCTATAGAACTAGGCTGATGCCAAGATTCAGAAAGGAGTAAAATTTATATTAAATATTTATATTATGTTAAAACGTATAAGGTTGTTGTTGTGTTATCTCTTTTATGTGGTATCAACACTCATTTGCTCTAAAATACACTCTATTCCCACAAACTTTGATGTAGTTTACATAAGTATATATTATTTTACGTTATTATAATAACGACTTCTTTGTCATAATTATTATTATTTAATATAAATCGTTTAAACATTAATTATAACTACACTATTAGTTCTTAGAATAACAATAACAATAAATTTTACTCTACTTTTCTTTACTCATTCTCGCTAAGATCATCAATAAATGTTGGACAACTTTACATACACATTTCCATTAAAAAGAGTGTATATATTACAATTTTTGTAAAAGTTTATTTTTATTTTTATCGTCCAATAAAACTTATATAAAGTAACTTTTATAAGAAAAAATTATATTTTTTAATAATTTTTAAATGTACACAATTTTTACAATTAATACTCAACAAGTAAAACCAATTCTGTAGTTTATATTAAAATTTGATGTCATAAAAATGGATTTTTATTTACATTTATGAAAAAGGTTTTCATTAAGTTGTATAGTTCTTGTTTTAATATAAAAAAACATATTATACCATAAAATTATAATTCAATTTTATTGGAAAGGTTTATTTTTTACATTTAAAATCAATTTGTATAAGACATTATTGAAATTAAAAATTTACTTTCGATCTTCTGAAAAATTATTAAAATTGACATCATCTTTTAAAAAATTGCTATAAAATAAATCGCATTTTATACCGAACAATTTATGAGATATAAAATAAACATTTTTCTATTCATAACTTTAAACTTAATTACTTATAATATTACATTTCATTTTAGTGCTACTCTATTTTCGTGGATTTTCATTCATTTTATGTCTGATACGATGGAAAAATTTCTATAAGAGGAACACAGACAATGCACAAATAATAATATCGCCACAATCAAAATTGTATCGATGACAAAATCTACATGTTACTGTCAAAGGACATATAAATATATTGTAAGTTCCATCTAAAGTTCATAGACGACTTCTGTCGGTTGAGAAAACAATTATTGTATTATGTTCTCAAATGTTATATCAGTAGCTCATATCCGTTCAGATTTTGTTATCTGAAATTCGTGTTTATACCTTTCAATTCATAAACAATTCCTCTCAAACCCACCGTAAATTTCAAACTATAAAACTTCTATCTTAAAATGGTTTGGTAATGACATTTCTACAGATTTTAACTGTCAAACTGATAAACTCAATAACAAAAATATATATTATGTTACCTCCAGAATAATTAATAAATAAAACTAATACAGAAAAAGTGACGACATATAATAGTTTACACAATTAATAGATAAGTAATCTAAAGTTTTAATCAAGGAATAATTAATAAAAAAACAAATTTAAATTAAAAAATAATATACTATATATTATTAGGATTATACACTGCATATTAACGCATAAAAAAAATTATGTTTTTATTTAAATTATATAATTAACAAAAAATTAAAAATTTTGTGTCAAGCCCTTCAATTTTTATACGTGTTTACCATAAAATTAACAACTAATAAATAACTTTCTTATAACTTCACATTAAAAACTACAATACTGAATTATTAATTATCAATTTCATACTATATTTAATTTCTATAATAAATATTTATTCGTATAATATATTTATAAATCATAATTATATTGATCCATACATTTTTTAAACATTTTTAGCATTATAAAGGTAAAATTATAAAATATAAAACCAAGATTTTATTCACAAAAATAGCATATTTTTTAATACGGCAGCCATTTTTAACATAGAGACTATGACGTTTAATTAACTTTTTTTGTAAAAGTTGCCATTTTGAAACTCCTCGTGGGTAGATAAAGGGTGAAATTTGAACAAAAAATATACCAAATAGTAGTTAAGTATCTAAGGTATCCATAAAAACATTTGTATTATTTTTTCATTTTAAAAAGTAATGGTAGTTTTAAGAAAAAAAAGAGTTAAAAAAATTTGAACATTGGAGATTTTTTAAAATTTACGTTATTTGGGCATTTCATTCAATTACAATGAATGAGGACAATTTGTTCTATTTAGACGTATTGTTAAAAGCAATCGATTCGGTGAGAACTGAAAAATGTTATAAGAGACACAAAAAGAAATATGATAGTAAAAATGAAATCTTCTCAGCTTCACATTGAAGCTCTAATTAAGTATATTGTCTAATCTAGCTGTTCCATTACTTTTATAGATAATTTGGAAATTAAATATTTTTCGTAAATATGTCGCTGAGATTTAATTTTTGAAGAGGACAAAAATCGAAGAAAAATTGATGAACCAAAAAAATGTTCTCAATGACTATGTGATTTTTATGTAAAAATATTATGGTAACGAAATTGAAATATAAAATTCCAATACTCAATTAAATCACTTAAATCCTAACAATCCCATTCCTATAGTATCTAATATTACAATTAATACAACATTTGTCGAACACATTTCAGAATACATTTCCGTAAATTAAATTTAGATACCAATTAACCTATTGGGATACCAAATGACCAATCTATATTTCTAGTAGGGTCAATCCATGCCAAATCATCCAGAAGTGGTTGCACGAACACCTCATATTTTTCTGAAATTTTCAGATTTTATTCATTATGCTATATTTAGATTAAAACAATTTTTTTTTTTTTTTTTATGATCTTCCCATTTTTATGGCTATTTCAATGTAAAAAAAGTTAAAAATAGCTAGATCGTTAAAAAACACACAGATTATTCAATTTCAACTCAATCGAATTCAAATTTTAGATTTGACTCTATTATAACTTAAAGTTTACATAAAAAAAAAAAATTATGAGAAATTTTAAACTTTAACCACCTCAGAAGAACAACAAAACACCTAATATGGGATTTAAATTATGTAAAAGTATTCCCGGGAATAGAGAAAATCACAGATTTTTATCAATTAATAACAATACCATAAGAAGTCTTAAGATATCATTAACTGACATTTATGAAGACACAGTATTCTAACTACTAAAAAAACCATGATTATAACTATATTATCATAATAATTTTTTTTATTTATTTTTATTTTCGAACTAAAATAATGAATTGAATATTTATAACGTGTCTAATAATTATATTGAATTATAATATATTACATATATAATGATATACAAAAAAAATTACAAAAATGTGGTTTGAAAACAACAAAAAACTATCATTAAATTATTTGATTTCTACTGATTTTCTAATGCTAAATTTTACATGTTACACATTTTTCTAAAACTTCAAATTTTTATGGTGTATAAAACAGATGTATATCTACAAAACTAAAAAAAATTTTTTTGGAAATTAGGTTACCCAACAGAGATATTGCAATTAGAATACACGTATTTTTATAAAATTTCTAACTTTATAGGCCTCTAAATCCCAAGATAATTGTTGTAAATATTTGAAATTTAGTTGAAACATAGATTGTATACTATACAATACCACATGTAAAAATCACAATAAAATAATAACTTCTTAATGGTTTTAAGTGAGATCAAAAACGCCAATTTTCACAAAAAAAGCACCATTTTTTGAAAGTCATTAAAGTTTAAAAATTTCTCAAAATTTTTTTTTTTTTTTTTAATGTAAACTTTAAGTTATAATAGAGTCAAATCTAAAATTTTAATTCGATTGAGTTGAAATTGAATAATCTGTGTGTTTTTTAACGATTTTGCTATTTTTAACTTTTTTTACATTGAAATAGCCATAAAAATGGGAAGATCATAAAAAAAAAAAAAAATTGTTTTAATCTAAATATAGCATAATGAATAAACTCTGAAAATTTTAGAAAAATATGAGTTAAATATTTTTCAGTCTTAAATGAATATTTTAAATATACACTTAATTTTTAATAATATTAGCCACGAGTGATCAATTCTTATTATATAAAATAACCCATCTGATGATACAGTATTTTGTCATTTAATTTTAAACTTTTATTTACTAAAATACATAATGCTTTTATTCTTAGATTTAAAAAAAAAATTATTTATTCATATTTGTCCTAAACAGCAATTTTAAAAATACATTTTATGACTATCATTTAAATTATGTACACTAACAATATAAAATGTATACGTATAGTTTATGGGTCATTAGTTTGTGAATCTTAGATTAATATAGCGTACCTCATTAAATTATAAAAATGTATTTGAAAAATTTTATTTTTGTAAATTTTATTTATAATGTTGTAATTATAAATGCTGGGCAATGTTATTCTACAAAAAACAATGATGAAGAATTGATAAATCTTATAGATCGAGTTAGCACAATGGATAATACAACAGATAATAATACAACAGATAATAATATAACAGATAACAATACAACAGATAATAATATAACAGATAACAATACAACAGATAATAATACAACAGAAAATTTTGAAGACGAAATTAATGGCGAATTTGAGTTCCCAACATTAATACTTGAGGAAAATCTCAATAGGGTAATTTATTTATTAAACCGAATGATTAATTAATTATTCCTCGCACAGTATCTTAAAAAGTACAAAAAAAAAATTACTACTTATCTTATCAATAATTTATAGTTTTTAATGTTTTATAAATAAAACAAAATCTTGTTGTGTTTTCCCTTTCTTATCCCTTAAACATATATCAACTTGGGTTTTTATAATGGAATTATTTGAATTTAACTAGTTTCAATATTGGAATATGATCTGATTAATAAAATGAATAATTAGAACAACTTTTGAACCATTATTTAGAAAATATTATTGATATTATTAGTGGAAAGAGTAGCACGACTCAGAATGTCTATTAATAAAAAAAAAAAAATAAGACCCATGTCTTACCACCACCCTAATTTTTTAAAATATAGATATCTCAAAAATAATGGTTTAAAAGTTATCCTAATCAAATAATTTTCTATTAAGTGTACTAGATTAATATTTATTTGACATTTAAAAAACTTTAGTAGACATATTTTTAAAGTGTGAGAAATGAGGTACAACTAATTTTTTGTGTTTAATTAATAATTTGTAGATTATTTTTAATCATTTAAAACTCTTAATCAATCATCCGTGTATATTAAAATATTAATTAGTTGCACTTTATGGAAACAATTTTATGCTAAGTTAGATTTTTAGCTACGGTGCGAAGCTGAGAAGGTATTAATTTTACTATGATGTGTTTTTTTTTTTTTTTTTGTCTGTTGCCACTTTTTCTCAGCTCTCACTGGACCGATTTCTTTCAACAATACGTCAAAAGATCAAAAATCGTATCTAGTTGAAGACATTACCCTTCAAAATTGAAAAAATTTCCCTCGTTCCCCGTAAATGGGGGAAACATCCAAAAAAATTACAAATTTAAAAATCGCTAATTTTCGAAATTTTTTCATTTTTTTTTCTTAAAACTTCCATAACTTTTTCAAAAATAAACAATCAACATAATTTTTTTTTATACTAAAACCTTAGATATTTCCCTTTCATTTGATATCAATTTTTGGAAAATCTAACACTTAACCTGCTCATTGGGGGGGATTTAAAATAGCAACTTTTTTACAAAAACTAACTTTTTCAACTTAATTTTTGAAAATGTTCCGGAAATACTGCGTCCTTTAAACATATATAAAATTAAAGCTTATTTTATGTACTATAAAATGAAAAAAAAAAATTGTCCCGACGACCTATCTTCTATGCGCAAATGGCTACCGTATTCAAAAATATACTATTTTTCTATTAAAATTCTAGGTTTTATATTTTATTTTATTTTAAAATATCTTATTAAGAGAATACATGGTGAAAATAGCTACCGTATTTAAAAATATGCTATTATTGTGTTAAAATTCTTGGTTTTGTATTGTATTTTATTATAAGGGGATTACACTGATTTTCATAAATATTATATCAATCTAGATGACATAGTATAAAAATTTAATCATATTTAAATTTTTTTGGTTCTTTGAAGTCGAGAAAAATAACTTTAAAATTTAAACTAGCTAAATTTCCATTTTTATTAAGTGACGAATGAGACGTACGGTTTTTGAGACGGTAACACTTGAGTCTTTCACGATTGTGGCACTGAATATTTTTTTAATTCTTTTTGAGTTAAAAAAAAATGTTTAACTCATTTGATTTTTATCTCATTGAGATTCAATAACTTCAATAAATATCAAGGATTCCATTACTGTAGTCTCCTCTCGTGAGAAGAAATTCATATTAATATTATTTTACTATGTGGTTTTTTTTTTTGAAGCTATCATTTATTTTCTCAGCTCTCATTGGACAATTTTTTTTTTTTTAATTAAACACTATCTAAAGATTTGCATCGAAGCGTTTTTATGATAGTGATTTTAATCACTGTCAGATATCATTTATACTGGACCCAACTATGCCACGACCCCACTTTGCTGGGTTTTTAAAACAGTAAGTTTATTGAAACTAGATGACTTTAATTGCACTTTATTAGCTATTCAAAAATTAAGTTCAATTATTTTCTTTTACATTCTGCACTAAAGATATATTTTTTTAACGCTGTTTAAATACCTGAGTATTTAAACAGTATTCCAACAGGAACAATCATCCTGTTGAATATCAAATTTTAGCTTCAATATGAAGGTGAAAAGTTAAAGAAATGCTCTCACTAGTTCAATTTCTTTCAACGATACATCAAAAGATCACAAATCGTATCTGGTTGCAGACATTAACCTCAAAAATTGTAATTTTTTCTCTCGTTCCCCATAAATGGTAGAAAATCCCAAATTATTACGATTTTTAAAATTTTTTATACTTTTTTTTCTTAAAACTGCCTTAACTTGAAATGAACAAACCAAAATAATTTAACTATTAATCTGTCAGAGATAGGATTCAAAATAACAATTTTTGAACAAAAATTTAACTTTTCCAATTTTACTTTTGAAGATGTTTTGGAATATCCGAACTTCAAACAGATGTCAAATTAAAGCTTATGTTCCATACTTAAAGTTAAAAAATACCTTATTTTCTATGGAGAAATGACTGCTGAAATTAAACAAAAAATGTAATTTCTATGTAAAAAAAACACTGTTTATTGTATTATTACTTTTATATTTAAAACTGGCATATCTTTTTCAAAAATGAACAAAACAAATTAATTATTTTTATATAGTTACCTTAGTTATTTTCCTTCTATCTAATATAATTTTTTTTTTAATTTGACATTTTACTTATCCACGGGGGTAATCAAAATAGTAACTTTTGCACAAAAATTTTACTTTTGAAAATGTTTTGAAATATCCGAGCTTCAAATATATGTTAAAATAAAGCTTATGTTACGTTCTATAAGTTTAAAAAAATTGTCTTCTATTTTTAATTAATTCTTGAAGTTCAACAAAAAATATTATGTTGGTGTAAAAATCAACCTTTTGTAAAATGATGAAACAAAATAATTTTTTAACTTAAAACCTTGGGCATTTTGATTTCATTTATTATACATTTTTAAAAAATCTGATTTTTTACCTGCCAGCAGGAGGGCATTGAAAATAGTAACATAAAATTTAACTTGTTTATAATTGGATTACTATTAAATCACATATTACTTCATATTAATTTTTACTTCAACCATCTGATGATAAAGAACATATTATAGTAAATTTAAAATATATATCAAAAATTTTTGAATATTTTAGAAGCTATTTCAAAAAATTTAATATTTACTATAACCCTGTACTTTTAAAATTTGTTCTTTTTTATTTTAGGACAGAGAGTGGAAATTGTATCCGAGGCGTCAAGATAGTTTTACGTTAGATTTTTTACAGGCATTAAGTACAACTATAACTTACGAAAGTGATAAAATTTTGATTACTAATAATGACATACGTTTGCTATCAGAGATTGTTGAATTTAATGAAGAGAGATTAAAATTATTAGAGAAAATTAAAACAAAAATGGAAGCATTGCAATGCGTTTACGCTTTTACCGTACTGGGTTACTTACATTTGTTTGCTTCGAATTATAGTAAAATAAAAATATTAGAAATTGGAAACTATCTAAAACTTATTTTTTCAATATTTTATGAAGTAAAAGTATCAGTTCACAAATATTTTTGGCTTCTTCACATTAGAATAGCCGCATATGATACTTGCTATTCCGATCAAGATCCTAAATTTTTTTTCTTTGATCTAAGCAATCACATACAAAACATGGAAAAATTGTGTGAGAGTTGTGTGGAAAAAACTTACTTAAAATATAATACAGATATACAGGTAATCATGGAACAATCTAGTATCGATTTTGAAGTATTAGTAAATACAATTCCAAACATTCATAATCATTTTATTTTGAGGAACTATAAGTTGGATGATTTGGCAGAATTAATTTCTTATATTTGTAAACCTAACGGTCCAATCAATTGGACCAAAGTAATGGAGTGGATAAAATATAGTCGATCTGAGATAATATTATCATCTATAAATGGTGATTGGAATCGAGATCCATATAGAAACATAAAGTACCAAACGTTATTGCTACGTGTCATATATGCTAATGTTTTATACCACGTTCTCATACATTTAAAATCTTACAGTTATAATTTAATGTTTTATGGAGATACTAACAGGAACCCTATTATTGCTGCTAAACTGAAACAGTTTTGGGTCCTTTTGAAAGAACCTTTAATGACTGCTATAAAATTATTAGACGTATATAGTGGGATAATTTGGAGTTTATGGTACCATATGATGTCGGAAGATATTGAAATTCTTACCATAGATGATATGATTCAATATTTGGATGTAAAACTATCCGAAGAGTTAAAAAATTTGGGAGTCGATGAATCACATAACCTATTGAAAGAATTTGAGATCATTCAAATTGATGAAACAACCGACATTGATTCCGAATTAGTGAAAAATAACACGACATCATTACAAAAGTACTTAACTAAAATAGAAAAAAGAATAAACCCAATTAATTTTTATCTTATTCGATTTTTTCTCAACGGTCAATACAATTAAATTTATATATGATTAAGGAATATTTTGATATTTTTTTAAAGTTATAATGGTGAACAAGGGCCACCTAATATCATTATAACTAATTTAAAAAAATAATAAATAAAAATTATAAATTTTAAAAAAAGGTTCTCACAGGAATAGTACTTTAAAGTTTCAAATTTTTGAGTTAACATACATGTATAATATTTAAGGGTTTTCTATATTAACAGTGCTGTATTTATAGATGTTAATTCACAACATTATGCCTAATATACTACTATACTTTAAATATATCTGTTTATAAAGTCATAATTGTCAACAAACGCTACGTTTCTGCGATAGCGACGTCATAAAAAAACAATTAGTTACCAGTATTTTTAATCCCCCATGTATTATACATGTATATTAATTCAACAATTTAAAACTTTAAAGTTTTATGTCTAATAAATTAATAAAGTTATGTTAAAAATTCAAATGACAATTACTATTAAAATAAAACCTCAAACATTATATTAAATTCAAAGTATGTTATTCCATTAAAAAGAAATATTGACGCACTTTCAAGTCATGAAGGATGAACTTAAAAAATAATACATAACTAATAATTCAAAAGTAACACACAATTAAAGTCATCCAAAAAAAAATGTTTAAATTATTTTAATTCTGTAAGTAATTAAATGGGTTATGATAAAAAAATCACTCTGTATACAGTAACAATCAATTATTTATAAAAATTGTTTTCTTTATACCGTTAGTAATATAAAAAATTATCGGATAATAATATATTATATATTTATTCTTTATAAAAAAAACACATGGTAAAATTTGTTGGAGATATATTAATAATTTAATATTCAATTATCAGTACAATACCAAACCTATAAAATAAATTGTAGAAAATTAAATAATTTAATCATAAATAATAACGTTTTTTTAATGGATTTCTATCTATATAAACTTTTATTATTTTATATACCCATTGAATTCCATAAAAACACCGGAGAAAAGTTTGAAGACTTATTTTTTAGCGCATCTATTTTTTCAATGTCCTACGTGACTTGAACAACTTTTAAGTATAAACGGAATGATTCTTTAACCATGTCCTACTTAATTAATCAAAAAATAAAATAGTATGGATATTTTTTTTCAAATTCTTTTAGATACATGTTTATCTAAATTTGTGTATAATGAAGTAATTTTTATATTCATCCTTTATACGAGGTACGTCCAGAAAGTAAGTTCCGTTGGACAATAAAAACGTGTAAATTTGTAAATTTTAATATAAATTTTATTTGAATATAAAATTATAAATTTTATTTGAATATAAAATACAACTTTATTTTTCAACATAGTTACCACCATTATTAAAGCACTTATCATATCGAGGTACTAGTTTCTGTATCCCTTCATCATAGAAAGATGACGTCTGTGATTGTAACCATGCGCTAACAACCTTTTTCATCTCATCATCTTCGTTGAAGTTCTAGCCACCCATAAATAATTTCATGTGTAAAAAAAGATGAAAATCACTGAGTGCTAAATCTGGACTGTAGGGCGGATGATTAAATTGTGTCCCATGCAAAATCTGCAAGTTGTTTCGTCACATTTGCTGTGTGCGGGCGAGTATTGTCGTTAAAACAATGCCACGGCTAAGCATACCTCGTCGTTTATTTTTTATTGCACTAGGTAGTTTTTTAAGCGTCTCGCAATAAGAATTTGCGTTGATTGTTTGACCACGCGGTAAAAATTCTACTAACAAAACTCCTTCTCTGTCTCAAAACACCGTGCACATGATTTTTCGAGTAGTCAGTGTCTGTTTAGCATTTTCTCCATAAACTTCACAAATTTGACGATGAATATCAACTGGTTTGATATTCTTTGCATTTAAAAACTCACATATGGCGGAATTTCCTATTCGTTTATCCATTTAAAAACACTCGCCTCGTGACGTACGTACACTAACTAGTCACGGAATGGTTTTAAAATGTTCCAAATAAGTAAATGAAATAATCGGATATGACTGTAATTAAGATAACATCGCAAACGCGATAAAAATAGAAAACGGAACTTACTTTCTGGACGTACCTCGTATATTATAAGGATGTCAAAATTACTTTTCAAACGGTAAAATAAATAATTAATTAGCTTATTTATTAGATATTTTATTTAAAGAAAATGACTGGTCAATATCAAATGTTTGACCAAAATTTTAGAAGTTATTAATATTATATACGTTTCTATCAAATTATATATATAACTTTTTGCATTATTTGATTGTAAAGATTCATAAAAGATTAATAAAAGATTTTAAAAAATAATGACAAGAAAAAATGTCATTTATTATTGTAAAATACAATTGAAAAACACAATTTATGATTTAACGCAATAAAAATATATACGTGTTCATTTAAGATCAATTTAGTCATATAAAACGATAAAGTTTTGTATAAAAAAATTAGTATGATTTATGTTATATTTAAACAAAAATTATACTGTTTTTTAATATCCAATTGTAAAATTAAAAATCTTTACAGTTTTTATTAAGTTGATTTTTAATTTTGTAATTTTATTTGATAATAAAATTATTAATAATAATAAGTTTAGTATACATTTTAATAAAATAGCTTTATTATGCAGTTGGTCAAAAACTTGTCCGTCTACTATTATTACTTAATAATTTTGATTTATATTTTATTCTGAAAAATATACATTTTTTTAGGAAAATTAATCATAAATTAATGATTTACATATATATTTATAAAAAATATAAAAAAATTCTCTGTACAAAATAACACTGAATTTTCAAGTCGTCTGCCTATTTTATCTCAGAAATGTTTTATTAAATTCAACGATTTACAATATATTATACAGATAAATGTGATTTATTGAATAATTTATTTATTTATTTATTGATTAATTAATCATTATCACTGAAAGAATTACCACCTTTTCTTAGTTGAATTACTAAATCACGGATAGCAATGATATCTCCACTGCTTTATTTGAACGTGATGTACGTTTTTTGTTTTTGTTTTCGAAACATTCTTAGTATCGTTATTACTATCGTCATTGATGACTATTAAAACAAAACCGCCATCTTTGCTACTTCATTTTTCTATAATTTTTTACATTTTTATAAATATACTTACTATAATAATAATAATAATAATAATAATATTAAAATTAACTAATTAACTAAAGAGAAAAACATTGTTATGTTTCTGAATAAACGTGCGTCAAAATATAAAGTTTTTCAAATTTTGAGTGACCGTTTTTTGTTGTTGAAAAAAATTGATAACAGTATAGGGAGACTATTTTTATATACTGTATTTTACTAAAAGTAAAATCAATAAATTTATAAATTATAAAACAAACTTGGGCAATGGTAGAGTGGTAAATGCGTGTTTACCGGGCTGTAACAGTTTCTAAAGTGACTTGTTCATATAGTAGTACCCTTAGTCATTATACTTCATTAAGCACAAGCTCGACCACTGCGTGCTCATTCTATATATACAATAAAACCTTATTGAAACATATGTAACATAGAAGTTCACTTCATATAAAGATCCAATCAGTAATGATATTGTTTTTTTTACACCTAAACCGTAAATCAAACTACAAAATCGATTATATTTCTTTTTAGTTTAATCAATTTTACGTCTTGTATGCGACCCATTAGGCCAATCTGCTACACAGCGTTCCATGCGATAGCACTAGATCTTGGACTGCAAAAGACGTTTAGGGGAATGTTTATTAGAACTGAAAATGCACACAATATATAACATTTTTTCTAGTCACAAAATGCGTTTTTGGCAACATGATGTGCGGTCTAGGGGCCAAAACCGTTTTTTCTTCTCGATATATTTATTTTCCGGTCGATTTCGGCTTTAAGTATAATAACACTGTCGAACAACCATTGAGCTTTCCACCGTTGGTAATCGTTTATCACCGTCGCTTAACGAAATAACAATTTGACCGCCAATAACGTCCAAGCAAAATAAATTAATGAACCGTGATGGCTTTTCACGGACTTCCGAACTTTATTTCACGTTATTTTTAAATTAAAAAAGTGAAACAACGTTACGTTATTCATAGCCAAACATTGGTAATTCAGTTAAGCCTTTTTAATTCTAATGTAAATTATAGATTATGTTAACAATTTCAGACTAAGTATATGTTTATGATGATATAAAACATTTTAAATTCAACATTTTTTATCTTAACAATTATTTACTATGATATGAGTTTTCATTTCACTATGTAAATTGTATAAGCTAATTTATTTTTATCGTACTTTCAATAAAAAAATATATTATTTCAAATTATTAATTAGATTTAACTAATTAAAACATATTATAGAAAAATTTTAATTAAAAAATTATAATCTATAAAGATGGTTAAAAATCAAACAAAATTAACCTTCTTAATATATTTATGCTTTAATAAATTTCATTATTTGAATTTTTTTTATTTAATTGTTATATTGTTATAAATGTTTATTTCATTTTAATAAATTTATCCAAGTCAATTTATTATTTTTCTATTAGTTTCTTTATAGACAGATACAGATAATATATATAGAAAGAGAGATAGAGAGAAAGAGAAAGAGAGAGAGAGTTATTCACTTATCATAAACCAGTTAATATATTGAAAAATAAGAATATTATTAATAATTCTTTTATTGGTTTATTTTAGTTTTTATGTATTTATCATTATGAAGTATTTTTTATATTCATCCCTCAAACAGTATAAATGTGTCAACTTTCATTTCAAATGAATACGCACTTAATTAACTAACTTATTTATTACATAATTATTTAATTAAGAAAATAACTGGACTATAAAAACTTTTGGACTACAAAAGTTATTAATAGTTTTAATAAATAACTTTATTAATTATATAATAAGAATTGATCACTTGTGGCTAATTAATTAAATAAAATTAAAACTATGTTAAAAATATTATTAATTTAAAAAACTAAAAAATATTAAACTCAAATGCCACAAAATCCTTATGAGGATTCTTGTAAGGTATAATTATACGGTCGTTATGGACTGTATGCAAATTTTATTCCAAAAGAAAAGGTTAAAGAAGTTAAATTAACGTAAACAATGATTTTTCTTTTTTTTCACTTAATATTAAAGAAACAAAATATTTTAACAGAAATATCTCCTGGCCAGAAACTTAAACTACGGGGATAGTATTAACGGGGGGGAGTAAGATTACAATATATTAATTTTAAAATAATTAAATACAATGATAAATAATCATACGATTAACTGATTGATGGTTCTGTAATTTCCCATCCAACGAAGACTTTGACAGATAAGGTATAGGTAATACACACAAAACGAAATTTGTTAAACGGCGTAAGAATGATATAACGTTAAAAGCGACGGTATAAAACGATAAAACGTTAAAACGACCGTATTTACAATTAATTTACGAAAAAGGGCGACGGTCGGTCTGCGAAAATACGTCTTTTTTTTTTATTTTTGGCGGTAGGTAGGCGGCAGCTGATAATCAAAACGCGTTTTATCACTGCTTATACAGTGATTCCCAAACAGATACCCTTATGATATCCTTGTCAGGTATAATGGATGAATATAAATACTTCATGATTGATCAATTGAAAAAAATATGTAAAAGAATATAAAAATATATCTTCAATATAATTTTTATTTTTCAAAAAAATAACTCGTTCATGATATAAGAATCATTTATTTTAGGGTGTTTAATAACTGAACTAATTACCCTCAGTATCATAATGTATAATATTTATGCGATATGATAAAAATTACGACTGATCATCAATGTTATTTTTAGATTTTTCATGTCTATTATTATTGTCGACATTTGTTAAATAAAACTTTACTATGATTTTTTTATTTAAATCTCTGTCAAATGTTTTAATTTCGCATTTCTATTCATAATAAAAATGTACTCATGACAATGCTTTTATTTAAAACGCTATCAAGTGCAATATATAGTAACAGTGAATTGTAATATTGTTAAATATTTTTAAAAAATCTATCATACTACTCATAAGAAAAATACATTAAAAACAGTGAAAATTATAAGATTCACAAAATCTTAGGATGATATATTTATAGTCACAATTTTTTATGTGCTTGAAAACTAATGGAAATGTTCAATTGAACATTCAAAATCTGTTTAGGCATTTTACATATCTTTAGAGTAATAATATAGTATTACACGGGCTATGACACCATTTATTGAGAAAAGCTAAAATATTTTTCTGTCACAAAAAGTTTTCACTGGAGCCATTTTACACGCTGTATAACTTAAATCGGTCTTTTAATATAATCGCTTAGCTTCGCCGATAACACTCACTAGCTCTATTCATAAAATATTGTGTATGCATTATTTTGTTCCTCTGGGAATTTTAATGCTTCACCATCGCATAGTAAGTACACCTTCTGAGCTGTATGCACAGACACGTTTTTCAGCAACGCTTTCATTGAAATGTGTATAAAAAAATAAATATGGACACGCAACAGAAGAACTGCCGTGTATACTGTGACACAAAGCTGACTGGGCGGTATTTTGGCTTTGTCAAACGCGACTCCCATCAAGTGGCCCGATGTAAACTTTATATTCATCAAGTATACACACACATTTACCAAACGTGAATAGTAATGCAAAATTTAAAACTTATTCAATGGCATCTCATGAAAGCTTGAATGTATTACGACTAATAGTCTATTTCTGAATTATACTAGCAATCTTCAAGAAATTGAGAATAATTTTATTTAAATAAATCCATTTTTATTGAAAAAAAAAAAGCTGCATGCTATTAATTTGTATTACGAGTAAACCGGTAAGTGGTACTTAAAATACTTTTTTAGTGTTAAATAGTACTTGTTTATTGCTTAGAGTATGAGTACCACTTATTGACATAAAAGTTGACCCTTATTATTTTTATGGAACATAAAATAATT